TAGAACTGTCCCGTGACCTGTGGATGTCCCCTGTTTGGGGTATGATATTAATAAAGCACCCAATTTTCTAATAACGCTACGCCATCAGTGTCACACATGGACACTAGTCTTTAGAAGACAGAAGGGGAAAGTCAGACAGAAATGAAAATATTAACATACTGTGCTAAGTGTATCGAGGAGAGATCGACTTAGGAACGATATCAGAAGGAGAGTCAGCACAGAATCAGTACTGAATTGTATAGGCAGACAACAGATCAAACTGTTTAGCCATGTAACAAGATTGACACAAGGCACCTCAGACAGCAATGTTATACAGATACAACGGAGTCAGAGAACGTCAGAGATCGACCACGCAGAAGATGGGCCACAGAAATATCAGAGACGCTGGTAAGTTCTATATACGAAGCGTAAAGAAGGACCCGTTTCAGAGACCTCTTCCTGCCCTGATGTTGTGAAGCATGCCAGAAGTGGAGATAAAAGGAAGAAAAAGAGGATGGAAACATTGTAGATGGCATATTAAGAGTAAAGGAAGGTTTAGGAAAACGGATAATCGTGATTCTGTGGCTTTCGATAGTGCATGTAGGATCAGTTGGCGTCTTCACAATGAAGGTAGGTGTCAGTGAATCACTGCCCTGCTGTCTCCAGTCATGCTGAATCTGATATTCTCCTTCTTTTGCATCTTTTCATGCAGGCTCGCCGCCACAGAAAAATAGTTGGAAAAAAATAAACATCAGCACCCCTCCACTCTCCTCGCCCCAAAAATTAGAAAAATGATTATAATTTTAATAGTAATAACAGTTATTTAATGATTATTATTGCACAGCTTAACAAGGTTGATCTCCATAGCCCAGAAAATAATTTGCATGGGAAGTAACGAGGTTAAAAAAAAAGTCCTTCTCTTTTTAATTAAAACGTGTGATAGTTAATCTTTTATCATTAATTAATAGGTTCTTCACAGAACATCGCTCTCGCCACGACATACCTTAAAGTGGCTCTGTCTCTCGCTAAGTCTACAGCCCTATGTGCTTTCATATTCAGTGGATCTTCAGTGGACAGGATGCTGTTTATGAGCCAGTTATCCCTAATACCCAGATCACGTGGGATTTCAATGTTTTTGTTCTTCTTCTTGATTAATGCTATTTTAAGAATGTTTCTGTAACATTTCAGTTTGAACTAGCGTTTTCAGCTGCTCAAATAAACAAGCTTCATCACATATTGTTTCTTTTGTCTAGTATTTCCCCATCATCATCATCATCATCATTATCCCGTAACACTACGTGTCGTTGGGTCACCATTTCTGTTAACTGATAAGCTTTCTTCACATTTGGCGGTCAGTTGCGATAGACTTCATGGTTGTATGAGGCCTGTCCAGTCAGTCAGGTATAATAAAAAATATGTATTGGCAGCAAACAGCAGCTATAAGAATTAACAACTGTTTAGGTACATTTCAAAGCATAAAGAGGGCGTACGACGAGGATGTGTAATGTCAATATACAGTGAATATATATAATGAAAGCTTTAATTGATATGCCCGGAATTGTGGTTGTTGGGCACAATATAAACAATTTACGTTATGCTGATGACACAGTTTTGATAGCAACAAGTCAGAAAGAACTACAGGAAATGATAGACATTGTGGTGTTAGAAAGTGGAAGAATGGGCCTCAGTTTGAATAATGGGAAGACAGAAGTAATGGTGATATCAAAGAAACGAATTATTCCTAAGTGTGTAATAAAAGTCGATGGGGTTATTTTAGAACAAATACAGAAATTTAAGTATCTGGGCACATGGAAATCTTCAGATGGAAGATGCATAACTGAGATAAGAAACAGAATAGGACAGGCAAAAACTGCATTTTATAAAATGAAAAACATAATGTGCAATATATCCTTGCCATTGAGAGTTAGAAAAAGAATTCTTGCTTGCTACACACACCCAGTTTTGACACATGGCTGTGAATCCTATCCTGGACTATCGAAAGGCAGGCCAGACAATTTCTAGAGACCTCGGAGATGTGGTTTCACAGAAGAATGCTTAGAATACCTTTGACAGCCAAAAAGAGCAACCAAGAGGTTTTGAAAGAGGTGGGATCCCGAAGACAACTTATCACAAACATCAGAAGGAGACAGTCATCATTTTTCTGCCATATTATGAGAAGAGGGAAAATAGAACATGTTGTGACCACTGGAAAGATCTGTGGAAGGAGGGATAGAGGAAGATAACGAGAGAAGATGCTTGACAGTCTTGTTGCATGGCATGGAGGTGTGTCGGCACACGAACTGATACATGTTGCAGGAAATCGCAGATTATGTAGAGGCACCTGATGATGATGATGTAAATATTCAGCCGACAGTTTATAAGATCTAAACTAACCTTGAACTTGCCGCACTTGTTGACAATCTCCACCTCAAAAGGCAGCTTGTGCACAAATGGACACGGCAAAGCTAGTTTCTGCTCCTTTTGCCACTTTCCATTCTTTTGGCTGTTGATGACAACTGTGCTTTCACTGAAACGGGTATTGACACGCAGAGCAATATCCTTTCCAGCGCAGGTTCCGGTTCCATTGATCAAATCAATTGAAAAACTGCATACAGATTATACACAAATACAATGAAACATTTAGTATTAGGCGTCTTTGCTGTTCAAATTGCCTGGAAACCAGTAACAAATGTTCAGTATTATTGTGTTCTGATTTGAGGTCACGTGTGTCTTCTGCTAGAGTGAAATAAACCCCTTTAAAGTGTTGCTTCAGTAAATATTTCTTGCCAGGGATTTGAAGTTGATATGTTTCTTCTCACGTTCCGGTTGGAAGTTTCAATAACTTGTAAGAATGTCTTCATTTCAATGTTTGCTTACACATTACTGTCCATTCGTCAGTTTGTGTTTCATAATATCTGGGGTCAGCATCACTTTTACGCAGAGATACCTTATTACTTTTGTTTGGGGTCTTTCTTGACTTGTGTATCTGCCTTTTCATGTCCTCCAGTGTGATTCAGGGGCCCAATTTTGGGGAACGGAGGAATAACTCCACAGCTACATAACATGCATGTCGTACAAGTCCACTAATTAATAAGTTTGTTTAACACTTAAATCGGAGTGAATTTGCATGAGAGACGAGGAACCAAAAATCTGTACACTATTAAGCCAGATTAGTAAAACGGATATGCATGCAAAGCTCAAGCTCTGAAATAATTAAAAAATCTAAAAACTATACAAACTCTAGAACCCCACCCTCACTAATTACCGGTAAAAAGAATATAGGTTTCAATACGCACATGTACCACTAGGGGTGCTGCGAGATCTCGAGGCATGGTGTCCGCCTCGAGTGTTAGAGATTCCGGGTTCAATCCCCGGTAAGGGCTGGGATTTTTTCATGTGGACTTGGACTTCTAGTAATTCACTCTGGTTTCTGGGTAGTGAGAACGGACGCCCGTGTGCATTGTTGCGCACGTAAAAAATCCCTTGGCAGTTGGAAATAAAAAAGAGTAGCATAACGGCGCTGCCCGGTCAAAATGTGGAGTTAAAAATCTACCCAAAATATTTCAGGATCCTCGTCGGTGCTACAGAGCATGTGCACTGTGCTGAGCTTCTTCGGACTCAGACTTGATTTAGAAAAAGAACGGAGCACTTACGGGTTTCTACCTGTGTGCCATGATGTTGATCCATTATTCAAAACCTTCATGTACCACTAGTCCTACAATCAGCACTGAACATTCTCTGGTATTTAGATATGTAGTACCTAAGGCGATTACACATGCTTTTTTATTATACTACATATATTTTTGTAAGAGCATAACACTTGAGATATTGTATTTTACTAGTAAACTTTTGGTGGAGTGTTTTCATATACTGTTTCCAGTGATTTTATAACATCAGTCATTTGTGCAGATAAAAAACTGGTGTTGTTTGTCACATTGACATCCATTGCTGAATGACATTTCTATCTCTAACATCAACTTCTCTTTCAAATGATCATCATCATGTGCCGTGTCGGGTTGCATAAACTGCCCTGTTTCGTTCCCACCATAATCACGGATCAAGTCAATGTTTGATTGTTTCCTAGCCAAATCTATCTGGGGAGTCGCCGTGGCGTAGCGCCAAGAACTTCACCTGCGGATTGGAAAGTCGCGGGTTCGCTCCCTGGCAGAGTCGTAATTTTTTCAAAATGACCTTGTCTCCCAAGTAGACCCAATTTTGAGTGGGTACCAGGTGAAGTCACGGGAAGTAAAGGCGGCCGGCGTGATACTGGCCACATCACCCATCTTGTGCCGATCGGTCTATAAAAAAATAGTTCTAGCCCTATGTGAACTAGATGCCTAAAGGCGTGGTAAATTGTCCTTTAATTACTTACTAACATCGATCTGGCCAGGTCATCCCGGCATTTATTCCCTCACCTTCTTCTTATTCTTTCCCCATTTCTCTTGACGGTTATTACAAAGATTTCCAGTGCATTCTTTCATATAATATGTCCAGCACATTTTTGAATGTCTACGTCTGTTTAATCATCTGTTTAAAAAGACTGTTTGGATATGTGTTGTATGCGACTATTAGCTTCATCTTTCAACAGTTCTCGCCTGGATGGGTGTTGTATGCGACTGTTAGCTTCATCTTTCAACAGTTCTCGCCTGGATGTGTGTTGTATGCGACTGTTAGCTTCATCTTTTAACAGTTCTCGCCTGGATGGGTGTTGTATGCGACTGTTAGCTTCATCTTTTAACAGTTCTCGCCTCGATGTGTGTTGTATGCGACTGTTAGCTTCATCTTTCAACAGTTCTCGCCTGGATGTGTGTTGTATGCGACTGTTAGCTTCATCTTTCAACAGTTCTCGCCTGGATGTGTGTTGTATGCGACTGTTGGCTTCATCTTTCAACAGTTCTCGCCTGGATATGTGTTGTATGCGACTGTTGGCTTCATCTTTCAACAGTTCTCGCCTGGATATGTGTTGTATGCGACTATTAGCTTCATCTTTCAACAGTTCTCGCCTGGATATGTGTTGTATGCGACTATTAGCTTCATCTTTCAACAGTTCTCGCCTGGATATGTGTTGTATGCGACTATTAGCTTCATCTTTCAACAGTTCTCGCCTGGATATGTGTTGTATGCGACTGTTAGCTTCATCTTTCAACAGTTCTCGCCTGGATATGTGTTGTATGCGACTGTTAGCTTCATCTTTCAACAGTTCTCGCCTGGATGGGTGTTGTATGCGACTGTTGGCTTCATCTTTCAACAGTTCTCGCCTGGATGTGTGTTGTATGCGACTGTTAGCTTCATCTTTCAACAGTTCTCGCCTGGATATGTGTTGTATGCGACTGTTAGCTTCATCTTTCAACAGTTCTCGCCTGGATATGTGTTGTATGCGACTGTTAGCTTCATCTTTCAACAGTTCTCGCCTGGATGGGTGTTGTATGCGACTATTGGCTTCATCTTTCAACAGTTCTCGCCTGGATGTGTGTTGTATGCGACTGTTAGCTTCATCTTTCAACAGTTCTCGCCTGGATATGTGTTGTATGCGACTGTTAGCTTCATCTTTCAACAGTTCTCGCCTGGATGTGTGTTGTATGCGACTGTTGGCTTCATCTTTCAACAGTTATCGCCTGGATGTGTGTTGTATGCGACTGTTGGCTTCATCTTTCAACAGTTCTCGCCTGGATGTGTGTTGTATGCGACTGTTGGCTTCATCTTTCAACAGTTCTCGCCTGGATATGTGTTGTATGCGACTGTTAGCTTCATCTTTCAACAGTTCTCGCCTGGATGTGTGTTGTATGCGACTGTTGGCTTTATCTTTCAACAGTTCTCGCCTGGATGTGTGTTGTATGCGACTGTTGGCTTCATCTTTCAACAGTTCTCGCCTGGATGTGTGTTGTATGCGACTGTTGGCTTCATCTTTCAACAGTTCTCGCCTGGATGTGTGTTGTATGCGACTGTTGGCTTCATCTTTCAACAGTTCTCGCCTGGATGTGTGTTGTATGCGACTATTAGCTTCATCTTTCAACAGTTCTCGCCTGGATGTGTGTTGTATGCGACTGTTGGCTTTATCTTTCAACAGTTCTCGCCTGGATGTGTATTGTATGCAACTGTTGGTTTCATCTTTCAACAGTTCTCGCCTGGATGTGTGTTGTATGCGACTGTTGGCTTCATTTTTTAACAATTCTCGCCCTACTTCTTGTTTAGTGGGACTTCCAGTTGTCAGTCACAATCTAGGCCTCCAATTTGTCAGGATGAGACTACTGGTCTTTTTTTTTTTCTAGTTATTTTAGAAAACAGATGTTCTATTCATTAAATTAAAAATGCTGTCCAATTGTTCTGGCAGAGCGCGCGCGCACACAACCATACAAAAATTATCCTTATGCAGTGGCTGGGACGGAAATTCAGTGACAACTTACGTGTTGACTTGGTTACAAAAGAATCCACTGACAGCAATCAGATCATTCTTCTCCAGACCAGATGGAACAGGTTTGATGAGATCTTTGGGCTGCAAATAAACGAATATATTATTGCTATTCATCACCAATCAAGGGAAAAATACTCATACAAAAAACTATTGAAAAAAAAAAAAAATGCAGAAAATAGATGCACAATGTATAAATTAATCAGAAAATTCCCCGTGTGGGTTCCGTGGGATAACAAGAATAGACCAACTGCCTCTCCAACAAGCATGTCGTAAGAGTCGACTAACTCAAAATCGGAGTGCATTGGCCTGAGATGCAAGACACTAACAGTCTGCAAACAGGTAAGCAAGATCTGTGAAACCAATTCACACACAAAACTCAGGTCATGGAACAAAGCCAAAGACCAGAAATGGTCGAACAGCTAGGTCTTTCCGCCGGGGTTTACAGCCGATGAACGTAAATAAATAAATAAATAAAATTACACAACTCAGAAACGATTAGATTAGGCATCGATTGCAACGTAAGAACCAAGGTATCCAGTTTAGCTAAGCGGAACGGATAATTGTCAGGAATAACCTCTCTACCACTGTGGTTATGATTTCAATACAAGCCCCAAGCAAGCCAGGGACAGTGATTTTTGACAAGAGAACTCAGCGGACTGAATTCTCATTTCTAAACCTGCGGAGCCAGAAGGAGTGGCGCAGAAAGATCTGCTGAAACACTGAAACGGAAACCTGTCGTTACCGTGCAAGTGATCAACTTCCGAAGGCGAACACCAATAGAAAATCAGCACAATATTGCGGCAATCACGGAGCCAGATATCTCGGCTGCCCGTACATCAGGAAGTGCCCCCCCCCCCCCCCCCCCCCCCGCCATATGAAGATGACAATTACAGTTAATAAACTCTGAAAGGAGGCTAGAAGGAGAAGCAGGGCAGTACGGGGAGGGTGTTCGCCATAGAAGGAAACAGATCGTCATGGCCAGATCAAGCAACTGAAGGAGTAGCTGCACAGGTTTAAGATCGCCAAGAGATCAAATGACATAGAAAAAGAAATATAAATGCAGTCAACGGAGGAACCAACTGATTTAAATTCAAGAATTTGAGAAGCTGGGGCTGTAGGTCCAACAGGAGACAGACCGATGAAAAAGAAAAAAAAACAGAGACAATGTGAGCAAATTTTGAAGAAAGTAAAAGAAACGAGAGAACAACTAAATAAAGATTTGGTGGCTTCAAGATGCTGTGTTGAGCTCAGTAGAAGCCCAACATCACCGAAATACAGACATTCCCTAACTCTCTCACGCCACATCTTCAGCAGCTAGCGCAGAGATCAATTCCGATGGTACTTGTAGCAATTTGATTATGTGTCAGTCTTGCATTTCTATGAGTGTAGTGTGTCTTCCATATCCCTGGTTTCTCCGCGCTGTAGCATTTTATCCACTTGGCAATGATCTGTTTGAACTTGCTCCCAAAGGAACTAGACCACAACCGTCATGCATCAGGCCACTCACACCCCCAGTCTCCCTGCCTATTCGTCCCCCAGCACATCTGCATCAGGGAGTGCAACAACACAAATTTTTTAAAATGAAGATGACAATTACAGCTTATATATTCTGTAACGAGGCTAGAAGGAGAAGCAGGGCAGTATGGGTAGGATATTCGCCACAAAAGAAGACAAATCGACCTGTTTGCTATGAAGCTGAAACTAAGATTACCAGATAACCAGATTACATCTGCATCACCCCGAGAAACTATCCAAAGGATGCTAACTACAGGGAACTCTGAAGTGATTTTTGTTGAAACAAGCTTTTCTTAAACTTTTTCAGTATGCTTTGTGTGTCTGTGAGAACCAAAAGATGTGCGTGCAGTCAATTTTTGAATTACTGAAAGGCATCTGTAAATACCTTTAAGTCCATTTTCAAAATGGACGTTTTAGTATCATAGGCTGTGTTGCACTAAATGACGTGTTTCTGCTTTCGTTATGAACACACACACACACACACACACACACACACACACACACAGATATATATATATATATATATATATATATATATATATATATATATATATATATATATATATATATATACACACGTGTTCTGCATCCCAACACATATTTATCTGTACAGATGATCACATCAACTTGGTGAGACTTGTGAATCACGTGTTGAATTTTTGATTCAGTGCCATCCCAGGTGTTAACTTTTACGTAGCTTAGTCTGATACTAGTAGCACAGTGTGAATATGCTGTTATAATCTGTTTCTTGGCCTAACACTTATGTCTGGATGTCTTAATTACGGGTCACTTTATTCTTTTTTTTTTCTCTCATCAATGGAATGCCTCGCTGTGTCAATAAGTATTATCTCTGGAACGGGCCCTTCTGTTCTCTTCGTATGAAATACTTTTCAGTGTCTCTGATATTTCTGCTGTCCATTTCCTGCAGGGTCTGCCTCTGGTCTGTAACCACTGTATGTGTATAACATTGCTTTCTGTGGTGCCCTGTCTGATGCCAGTATTGTTATATGGTCAAATCTTTGGTTTGTCGTCTACCTACAACTTTATTACATGTCAGAATTAGGGGAGGATCGGGCAAAAGTAAACATGAGAGGAAGAGAACGACGTGTGTATAATCAGCGTGCTAAGGAAACTGTAAGCATCTACACCTGAAGAGATTTGCTGAGAAAGACATCAATAGGTATGTCTGGTCTGCTATAATGTCCATTCTCAAACCAGTAGTCAAATCATGCGTACATGTCATCAAGCATTAAATTTGGTCTTCTCCTTAGTGTTCACCGGCTCTAAACTCCGGCCTAAAGTTCTGGTTGTTCGTCCACTTTTAGACTTTGACTTGTTTCAGAACATAGGTTTTGCATGCACATCTGTTTTATAAATCGGGTTTATTAGTTTACAGACTGTGAATTCCTCACCTCTCATGCAGATAGACTTCGACTTTGAAGGACGACCCCTCCCCCTCCTCCATTAGTCGCTTTGTAAGACATGCTTATTAGGGAAGAAGTAGGTTTTCACCCCCACCCCCCTTTTGCCCCACCCCTCCTCCCCCTCCCAGGCCATTTACTGGGACTCCGGAACCCACACTAGGAATGCATTAAATAAGTACCTCAATTTTTGCATCCTCCTCCTCCTCCTCTTCTTCTTCTTCTTCTTCTTCTTCTTCTTCTTCTTCTTCTTCTTCTTCTTCTTCTTCTTCTTCTTCTTCATCTTCTTTTTCTTCTTCTTAAAAAATACTTTTTCTTTTAAAAATTCCTGGTCTATATCTACCAACACAGAGTAGATCCATAGTTAGCTCGTGGCAAACTTTTTTAAGTGTATTTTTTGTTGGTTAACTTATGTGGTTAAAACATTTAACAGGATCGAGTTGCCAACATTAAGAAGCCCAGCATTACCCTTAGTTGTCACCTGCGCATGGTTGGTAAGATACATTGTTACTGTTATTTGTTAAGATGCATTGTTACTGTTATTTGTTTCTTGGTAAGCGAACTTGGTAGCTAAACCATGTAAGATCATTATAATAGTGCATACACACGCAAGAAGTATACAGTTACCACACACAACAAAATATTCTTACCAAAGAGTCAGCGAAGACAACTTCCCTGAGAGTGACGTCCCCAGTAATGCTCAGATATAAGATCTGTTCTGGCGGGATGCGGAACTTGAAGGAAGTGAACAGCTTGTCATTCACGTAGATCTGAAAATATTTCCCATTGAAAATGATAATTATATTTCACTTCAGTATTAGTACATTAATTTCTAACAGTGAACGTAACAAGAAACTGCTGACTTGAGTAAAGGACCAAGAATGCAACATGGGAGCCGTTTCATATGTGTCCGTTAACATGCAGATCAGTTGCAAGAAAGAGCAGTTCTAAATGTAATACGAAAGAGCAGCTGTAAATATAATACGAATGAGCAGTTAAAATGTAACACTGAATAGGGAGTAAAGACGAAAATCGACGTTTGAGTGATGTTTAACCTCATTAGGACCGCAAAGCGAGGCATTGAAACTTAGTGACACAAAGTGCCACCATTCAGATTAGAATTCACCCCCCCCCCCTTTTTTTTTTCTCCAGGCGCCAATCTCAAAAACCTGTTAAACCGCATGGTGATTTAGAAAAGATAACGAAGACAGTGACTGTTTCAATATAAACCGGGCAGTTTATATATTATCTATGAATGAACCATTAACGTCGGGCTGAAAATAGGAGCTCGTGCGCGCGCGCGCGCACGCACGCACACACACACACACACACACACACACACACACACACACACACACACACACACACACACACACACACACACACACACACACACACACACACACACACACACACACACACACACACACACACACACACACACACACACACACACACACACACACACACACACACACACACACACACACACACACACACACACACACCACACACACACACACACACACACACACACACACCACACACACACACACACACACACACACCACACACACACACACACACACACACACACACACACACACACACACACACACACACACACACACACACACACACACACACACACACACACACACACACACACACACACACACACACACACACACACACACACACACACACACACACACACACACACACACACACACACACACACACACACACACACACACACACACACACACACACACACACACACACACACACACACACACACACACACACACACACACACACACACACACACACACACACACACACACACACACACACCACACACACACACACACACACACACACACACACACACACACACACACACACACACACACACACACACACACACACACACACCACACACACACACACACACACACACACACACACACACACACACACCACACACACACACACACACACACACACACACACACACACACACACACACACACACACACCACACACACACACACACACACACACACACACACACACACACACACACACACACACACACACACACACACACACACACACACACACACACACACACACACACACACACACACACACACACACACACACACACACACACACACACACACACACACACACACACACACACACACACACACACACACACACACACACACACACACACACACACACACACACACACACACACACACACACACACACACACACACACACACACACACACACACACACACACACACACACACACACACACACACACCACACACACACACACACACACACACACACACACACACACACACACACACACACACACACACCACACACACACACACACACACACACACACACACACACACACACACACACACACACACACACACACACACACACACACACACACACACACACACACACACACACACACACACACACACACACACACACACACACACACACACACACACACACACACACACACACACACACACACACACACACACACACACACACACACACACACACACACACACACACACACACACACACACACACACAATCACGGTTGTTAATCAAGGAATTCTCCCCATCTCGCTCGACTGAGTGATTTCGTATTCCTTCCTACGGACTGTCCTATGTTCTAGGGGTGTCACGTTGTCTTGTTTTGAACGTTTTAAGCACATCCACCACCGACGACAGCCACAGAATACGAGCGAAAAAATACACAAACATCATAATTTCTATACTGCATTTTCCCCCTCTGGGTTCTCTTTTTACCGCTTTAAACATTTGTAAGCGTAGAATCACTTTTCTGTTCCTGATAAAGAAAAAACACAGTTTGGAGTGTTGATCCTGTTAACATATTGTCAAAAGTTGTCGTGGAAAATGAACAAAAAAAAGCTGTTACAGCTGTGGTACAAGTAATTAAATTCATGGTACATTGGTTGATACTGGCAATGAGCAATAGAATGATTGGTAAAGGCAAAACAATGTTACATGTTTTGGTTTACGAGTTTGGAACACAAATTATTGAATTTTTTTTTCTGAGAGGAGAATATACGTGTAGTTATGCGAAATAGAGGACTAAAGTAAGACTTTTGATTGGTTGTTAAAATTAGCAAATCCCATGCTGCAATACATGAAGTCAGCGCGAGAGAGTAAATCCTTTTCAATGTGTGAGTGGACTTGGGAACACGGAATAACTGGGGAAATCGCCGAATAGGGATTCATTCTGCAACACAGCCCCAGAGCTGGAATGTGTGCAAGTTTATCGTCTGCATCGAAAAACTACGCTGAATAAAGGCTAAGAGAACGGAGACACTGATGTGTTCCAACTGAGTGCTGATTGTGGTTGTCTACATGTCAACGATGGACGTTAAGGTTCGACCGTGTGATCCGAAGTGCGGATAAGTGAAACTTGGATGCGTGATGTTATGCTACAGATTGTCGCTAGACTGTTGTTAGACCAGAGGACAGGCTCTCGTAGCTCAGTTGTTGTGATTATTAAACGTTAAACTGTCGTTTACTCTCGTCGACTGTTGTGGGGAGGAGTTGCATGAGCTGAATGGGGGAGAAACTTGGTCTCCTCTAGTCTGTAAACACTGGACAACTACCAGTCTCTTGTTACAATCTTCAAAGGAAACATTCATGATTAGTTGATTTTTACTACATGCTAGTTAGGGTCGGCGTCTGTGGCTCAGGCGTTGCGAACTCGCTTTGTAAGGCCGGTGTGCCGGGTTCGATTCAAGCTGCGGGTCGCGCGCCTTGGTTTCAACAGTGGTACCAAGAGCCGACCGTCCAGGGGCAATGACAAACTACTAGACGTAAATTTGCATAGAAAAACCACAACAGCTAACAAATGCTGGAGTTGGTTCTGCAACGTCCTGTAAAGGATACACAACTGTTTCTGTTAAGGCGGCAGTGGTTCTATTACCCAACCCCTTCACCCCACCCATCTTTTGTACTTACCTGGGAACACACAAGATGAGCTCTTTAAATCAACTAATTTGTGTGTGTGTCTGTGTGTGTGTGTGTGTGCCTGCGTGTCTGTGTGTGTGTGTGTGTGTGTGTGTGTGTCTGTGTGTGTGTGCCTTCTCCACCGTGGAAGTTGACTGCAGTAGTCATGTGCAGCAACTGCTGTCTTCTGAAATACTACCTGATGATGGTCTAATCTGTTCCATGGTGCAACTCTCGTAGCACCGTCACAAAATCTCTAGAACAATCTTTTCACCTAAAGTTCCAGCTGCGTAAATTCACATCCAGTATGTCGGAGATAGTGAAACACGTTTACTAAACTCCAAACTACAGAGCCACAATTCATATATGTTCTGATGGCTACCAAAAGTTAACAATACAGCCATGTTGAGACTTACATCACATCATATATGTTGTGATGGCTACCACAGGTTAACAATACAGCCATGTTGACACTTACATCACATCATTTATGTGGTGATGGCTACCAAAGGTTAACAATACAGCCATATTGAGACTTACATCACATCATATATGTGGTGATGGCTACCAAAAGTTAACAATACAGCCATGTTGAGACTTATATCACATCATACATGGGGTGATGGCTACCAAAGGTTAACAATACAGCCATGTTGACACTTACATCACATCATATATGTGGTGATGGCTACCAAAAGTTAACAATACAGCCATGTTGAAACTTACATCAAAGCATCCGGCATTTGTAATGATAAGAACATCAAAATACTGTCCACCAAGAAATGGAAAGCCTTCTCGAACTTGTTCCTCTTGACCCCATGAACATTTGGTCTTGCTGTTTAGCACCACTTCCTTCTTGACCTGGCTGACGTTAAAATAAGCTCCCACGACACTTCCCTCGACGTCACAGTTGAAGCTGATCGCAAAGCTGTCATTTAAGCATAGTGTTAATATTTACTGCAGACGAAACACGAATAATGAAATTAAATTAAAAATGAATTACAAATAATGTGCACCGAAAAGTGGTGTGAATATTCTTGTAGTATAGGCATTTTTTTTTCGAAACTAATTTTAAAAACCTTTTCCAAGTTCTATAAAACTATGATTGAAGCTTGATATTTGAACAACGGATTTACATCATGGCACACGGGTAGTAACCCATAAGTGCTCCGTTCTTCTTCTAACTCAAGTCTGAGTCTGAAGAAGCTCAGCACAGTGCACAGGTTCTGTAGCACCGGCGAGAACCATGGAATACTTTAGGTAGATTTTAAACTTTAAATTTTGCCTGGGCAGCGCCGTTAATCTATTCTTTTCGATTTCCAACTGCCAAGGATTTTTTTTTACGTGCGCAACAATGCATACGGGCGTCAGATCTCACTACCCAGAGACCAGGGGGAAATACTATAAATGTATGATTGAAATGTGAACTCCACATAAGTATCATCGTCACGTAGCAGACCGGCTGCAGAACGTCGCTCTCAATGTGGCACGGAAAAAACAAGCCAGTCGGTCACTTATCAATTTTTTTTATTTCTCATGAGTTTTTGTTGTTGTTGGTCCAGAGTGAATGCCCTCGATGCACTGTGTCTGCTGTTGCCCGCATCTTCTTGCAGGAATCATAGCCTCCATCTTGGTTCTCTATCTAGACTGTTTTAGCATTAAAAATGCCTGGAGTACTTTAGTTTCCGAGAAACAAGACCCTCTATAAGCGATGTCTTTGTGATCAGAGGTTGAAGTATGTCAGTGTTTCTCTTCTGTTTGGTCTATAATAGTCTAAAAATCACACAGTAATATTCACATTCAAACACCTCTATTGTCCATTTGGTGATTACAGAAAGACCACCATTTACACATGTATGTGGTCATAGAAAGCATGCATGTTTGCAGAATTTCCTCCTTTCAAGTGTTTTTCTTAAAGTGCGGTCGCCACGGACTGTGCTGGCTAGCATTTGATTTGTCCATCTGACTAAAGAAACAAATCCATAACGTTACTGAGGATTTGAAGCTTCATTTCCTGCATGAGAGCCCACCGGTTAGATGAGCCAGCTATTTCTCGATGCTGTTGAATACAGTCTGAATCCGTAGTCTATGAAGCAAATATGCGACTTTTTTGCACATTTTAGCTGGGCTGAGTATTTATCTCATTTGGCAGGCTAATCTTTTAATGTTTGGTTTATCTCTTTTTTATGATTAATTGTTGCATGTTGTTGATAATATTTGTGTCCATTCCTTTTCTCTTGTTTGTGTAAAATTCACTTCTGCCAATAATCTGCAATTGGATTCATATCCAAACTAGGAGAAATCTTTTACTTGTTTTATATCGTTTGTTTAGTGTGTTGTTTATTTTTGCTCTCTCTCTCTCTCTCTCTCTCTCTCTCTCTCTCTCTCTATCTATCTCTCTCACTCTCTATGTTGCATAATCATAGTTCATATTTTTTTAATACTGATATCTAATCGTTAATCTTTGCCAGTTTACTTGCTCCTGTATGTCTTGGAACTTTTGTTCAGTTCTTGCCAGTAGAATTGTGACGCCAGTATATCCCAGACTTTATTATTCTTCCATTGATACTCACTGCAGACGATTATCCAACTTTGTGTTGAAAATGCGTTCTAACAAAAATTGAACAGAGCTGAGAATAGCACAGATCCCAGTAATCTTTGGTTTTGCACGTTCTTTCTATCTAATCGTATATCTTTTATATAATCTGTTATCACAGAGACATGCAAAGAGCTGTTTACGATGTACTCCTACTCAATCTTTCATGTCGTCTATAAAACATGCACATTTATGTTCCCAACTTCTTTGTATTTTTCTGTCAATGTCCTTATGCAAATTACCAATCTTAAGTGCAACCACTTTAACGAAATCCACATTTTTCAGCAAACTGATCACATCTGTATCTAAAAATCTGGAGTCTGCTTTAACAACAACAACAAAATATTATTTTTATTCCTTGCCCAATATAATAATGACACATTAACTTTGTGGTTAACGTCAAAATGTCTGAAAGTAACTCTTTACTTAAATGTGTTGAGTTTAAATCTAACGACAGAACTGTTTGGAACAATTTTTCCCCCAAACGAAAACATTCTTAACGCTGATTGTGATTACCTTTTAGCATCTTCGTTGACAAAGCCTTGCACTCTCACAGCCTTGCCAGTCTTAAGTCCGCCTGAAAACTCGCCTTTGTAAGGTGTCCGCTAGCAGACGTCCATGGATTGTAAGTAACTTACATTTTAAATTTGCTTTTTATAATAAAAAAAATAAAAAACACACACACACACAGAGCTTATTTCCAATAAGATATACTGACATTCGAGCACTGGAGAGTGCGTGTGCCGACTGACTGACTGACTTTCTACCCCACCAGGACATCACACAAGCGATTAACACCCGATGACACAAAGTGCCACCATGAGGATGAGGATCACCGTGGAGAGGTCCTAGAAACTGCCTTCAGACAATTGGCCATATATATGCCCTGCCTATATTGCGGCCCCTGGCAAAAGCCAGAGTGGGGCTTCAAATAACAAAAAATTACGTCCTCAAAAGGACGTAGGGATAATTGACTTCTTATAGTGTGTATGTGTGTGTGTGTGTGTGTGTGTGTGTGTGTGTGTGTGTGTGTGTGTGTGTGTGTGTGTGTGCGCACGTGTTTGTATACGTTTTGATGGTGAACATATTTTTTCATTTTTTACGTTCTGACACTTAGCAGTAAATTTCACAGATATTCTAATTGTTTTCAGTGTTCAAATAATTCATTTAATACAGGCCGTTTAATTTTATGAGAACATTTGATGTGTCGCATGATTTATGTGATATGATATATCGTGATCAATGGAACTAATCACTTTAAATAAAACAAATGAAACTAAAAATACAATGTTAGAATCCTGTCTGATGAATGAATAGCGCTTTATGGTTAAATCAATATGATCAGTTTATTCAGACTTTTCTTTCTCATAACTTTTAACCAGATTGTGACCGGTACCATCAGTATTGGAACTCTGCGCTAGCTGCTGAAGATGAGGACAGGGCATGCATGGGAATGCGCCGAGTGCTGCGATGTCAATTCTTGACTCAGCTAAACTCAACACATTATTTCTCACACAACTGGGCCATCTTTTTTCTTAAATACAGCTGTATGTCCCCCCCCCCCCCCCCCCAACCTTTGCACGTTTCAAACCAACCCAATAGTGTATTCACTAGTTTATCTCGGTAAACTTTACGCAAATTGTCCCAAACAGAGTTAGTCCCCACCCATTTAAGCACTAGGCCACTTTTTATTCAGTTTGTTAGGGACGCCAACTTTCCTGGAGGTTACGGTGGTGTCCTACTGTTTGATCGAGAAGCTTTCTGCGTTGTCTTCCATTGACGCTTTTATTCTGAGAAAGAAAATGCCTGTGACATACATAGGTTGCATTACTCTCGTTGGGGAGGTTGCGTTAGAGCCAGTGCTGCATGTTTTTGAAGCGTTAAAAGGGCTGACCTGCTAAAATATACAACACGCGATATCAACGGTTTCACGGAGCACCCCTTTAACCTTCCGTTAAGTTGACTTGGCTCAGCAACTACCAGTCAAACTTGACCTAGTGTGTAAATATATGAGGTTAACTCTGTTTAGGGAGATTTGCATAATTTTTACCCTTTTTCTTACCCCCTTCGTAATGGTACAATGCTTACATTTGCCAAAGTTGGCGGAGAGCAGTTTGCTACCATTTTATTATCTGCAGCTGATTTAGTATTGCAGAACTATGAAATTGTATTCACAGCTTCTAGGTGACAGACGCCAACTGTTTGACCAATATTAGAATTTTAGCAGCTAATATAGCCTTGTCTATTTATCTTATATTTACTTTTGTAATGATTTTCACCAGACTAAATGTTTAATGACAACCCCTGCGGTGTAGCGACTAGGCGCTCGCCTCGCAGCCCGTGGGTCTTGGATTCGAGCCGAATCCAGTATATTTGAACATGTAGACTGGTACGTATAAACATGACGTGGGCTACCAGAATGACCCAGCTTCAAATGGGCGACCTAGCAGGTCTGGATTTAGACTATATGAGGTCCTAAGCTGCCCTGAGACCCTACTGTTTTAAATTACACCAGAGAAATGTAAAATAAATGTGTCTTTTAATACTTGTATAAAGGATATATATTTTCGTTTATAAATACAAAGTCTCAAATAATATACCCAAATCAATATTAATACACAAAGATTTTGTATGGGAAAAAAAAAAGGGGGGGGGGGGGGAGGGCAAATAAAAAAATGGGGAGGGAGGTGATTAAATTATAGTATACGAAAATAGGGTACATATCAAGAACTTGTCCAAATCTCGTTAGGCACGAGATTTAGTGTCGGCTCCCATTCATGCGGTGGCCGTTCCCACAGGCTGTTCTATCTTCTAGGGGTGTTGGCATATCCTTGTCCTTCACCGTCTATACACACCGTGTGCAAAACCAGCTGCAATTCGTTATGGGCCCGACTAGACGAAAGATCGCAGGCAACATTTAAAAATAAAATGTCACATTCAACCAGTTTCTTTCGATGAAAAAGCCTTGGGTTATAATTGTGACTGTGTTTCTTGCGCCAACTGTTGTTCACTTGAATTGGGTTCGTTTGTCATATTAAATGGCTTATCATCCCTGTCGGGTTCTTGCTGTCCTTTCCAGCTTTAAAGGCCTGGGCATTGGTCCTGTTATGAGTTTTATGGTTCCTTCTATCTGAGCACCCTTGCCTTATTTAGCCATTACTGAAGTGTTTGTATGTTTCCTCACCATTCCGCTGTATTGATTGTGCCTCTTTATTATCTGTCTTTATTAAGTATTCCTATTGCAGTCTAAGTCCGTGTGTTTCTTCTTGTTCTAGAATTATCCGAGATATTTCTTATTCTGTCATTTAGCTTTGTCTGAGTGGCTGGGGTCTTGTGGAGCACTATATAGTGGTAGTGTTGACACATGTCCAAACCATCTGATTTATTGTCTCTTGATGCAGTTTTGCTGTTTAATCAAGAAGTAACAATTTCTCTTATAGAAGAATTTTTCTCATAAAACAGTTGCAGAGTGAGATTTCAGGGTAGGTAGGTAAGTTTTACCCCACCAGGACATCACACAAGCGATAAACACCCGATGACACAAAGTGTCACCATGCGGATAAGGATCACCCGTGCAGAGGTCCCGGAAACCGTGTTCAGCCGTTACAGGCCCGGCTATTGTTAGGGCCCCTGACAAAAGCCAGGTTGGAGCTTTAAAATAACTAAAAATTGCATAACGCAAAGGGATGACGAGTTAAAAGAGTGAGATTACAAACAAATTAAGTTAAGAAAATGTACTAGAAGCAAAGCAGAGGGGGATAGCTTGTAATGGAGGAAAGGGAAGAGATAACTATAAAGGATAATATGGAAATCTACTCCTTGAAATCTCCTCGACTCCGAAACTACAAGAGATCTTGCCACGTGGCAAGTGGGAGCCAAAACCCAACCTTAAGCTGCCTCAGTAAAAAGAAGAAATAAAAATGAGAAAAAGTTTGTTTAGGCGGGGGTAACATCAAGTGTATCTCACCCTGACAGGAGATGCTCTATGTGGGGTCTAATTTAGTGTAACAGTAAAACACAGTCACACTAACTGAAATAACAAAAATGAAAATCGACAAATACAGAAACTAACTATCAATAATTGTTACTTACACATGGATTCTGAATGGTACATTCATAGTACTCAGCACCTTCACCCAGCCTCAGGTAGCGAACACTTTTGTACGGCAGGCGGTGCTTGTATTCAATGAAGTGCTTACAGTTCACAAACACAACATACGACTCTGCGCCAACGTAGATTCTCACTGTGAACTTGGATCCCGAAGCGAAAGGGAAGAAAGGAATACACAGCTCCTCCGTTTGCCAACCTCGTGAGTGTGAATTGCGCACAACAGAGCTGTTTCCCGTTCGTGGATTAAAGTGGAAGGCCACATCACATCCCTCGACTTTATCATTCTGAAGGTCAATGCTAAACCTGCAGGTGATGGTCACGGTTATTTCAGTTTAGCATTGTTCAATGTTGTTTTGGGTAGTGAAGTCAACAATGAAAATATACAGGCATACAACATCATCATCAGTCAGCAAATCCTTTACAAAACGTCGCTTTTCTCACGGCACGCCTGAAAGTATTACTTTCCCTAGCTAGCTCTACAGCCCCATGTGCTTTCAATGCCAATATATCTTCAATTTCCTGTGTCCATCTTCGCGGAGGTTGACCCCTGCCTCACTTTGCACAAACTGCACCCTCCATCACGTCCCCCCCCCCCCCCCCCCCAAGCCACCATGACGTTTAATGTGGCTAAAATACTTCACTTTTAGGACAGAACGCTGTTTACGGGCCAGATCTCGTTGCTGTTTAACTCGTGCAAAATGTTGATGTTTTTCCTCTTCTTAATTCATTGAATTTGGATAATTTTTATGGGTTACCACCCTTGAGGAGCCGGACTTTTTTCTAAAAATGACGTTGGCTCCTATGTCGACCCAGCCTTGAGTGGGTACCGGGTGCAGTCCCGGAAAAGTAAAGGCGGCCGGCGTGATACTGACCACATCACCTATCTTGTGCCGATTGGTCTATAAAAATATAGGTCTAGCCCTATATGCCTGATGGCGTGGAAAAGGGTCCTTTACTTTTTTTTTTTAACTTACCACCCTTGTGCCATGATGTTGGTCCGTTGTTTAAAACAGAAAAAAAAAACAATTATTGTTTACTTCTTTTCTTTTTATTTTATTTTTCTTCTCGTAACCTCTTCTTTCTTCTTCTTCCTTTTATCCTCGTCCTCTCCTCCTCTTTCTTCTTCTCCTCCTCACCCCTTCTTTCTTCTTATTCCTTTTATCCTCGTCCTCTCCTCCTCTTTCTTCTTCTCCTCCTCACCCCCTCTTTCTTCTTCTTCCTTTCATTCTTGTCCTCTCCTCCTCTTTCTTCTTCTCCTCCTCACCCTCTCTTTCTTCTTCTTCCTTTCATCCTCCTTCTCTCCTACTCTTTCTTCTTCTCCTCCTCATAATTTCACCCACCCCCTTTCGTCTTCTTCTTTTTCATCGTCGCATTAACCGGCTGTGAACCCCAAAGGATAGTTCTGGTTGTTCGTCCACTTCTGGACTTTGGTCTTGTTTCAGAACTGAACTTTTGCAAGCATGGCTTATTTGTAAGTGTAATCTTGGTTTCTTCCGTCTCAGTCTGATGCACTGCTTCAACAGAAATACTCCGAAATAGACATCTGTTACGACATATTTGTTAGGGGTACACTGAGTCTATTCTTTTGTTTTCCACAAGGGGGCGGGGGGAGGGGGCGCCACGGCACTAAATCTGGGACTTTTCTCGTTAAATAAGTTTTTTTTTTTTTAGAATGACTATTTTAAAATTCATAGATGCTTTTAGTCTGGTGTAGTGTAGCAGAGTCATTGCTCATACCACCTTTTTTAGAGTTGTGCTGTTTGCACGACAAGACCCCTTATAGCCTTCACCCTTGTTTTTGAAAACTTTCCATTAGTAAGCAACTATATCCCCCTAGGTCCATACTCTTGTTTCCCACGTACCTTGAGTCGTCTGACTAGCATGCGACATTCCCCGTCCGCACCAAAACAATTAATTTGTACATTCCACGGACCCGGCGAGCAAAGGTTGCTGCAGAAGACTGCAAAACAACGAGGGATAGGAGCCCCCTGGGAGCGGGCTAGTAACCCCTTTATAAACGATTGCCCGGAACCTTTGAGACACACAGGGACACACTCAGACAGCCAGGACACACAGACACACGAGACGGACAACAGAGGATAGTCGAGGAGAGACTGAAGGCACACACACACAGAGGACACAGACACAGACGGAGGCAGGCCAGAGGATAAACAGACAGGCCAGAGGATAGTCGGGGACAGACAGAGGATAGACACAGACAGAGAAGACTCAAGACACAAACGGAGATAGCCTGAGGCAGAAGAAAGAGGACAACAGAGGACTGCCCAGAGGACAGGCTAGAGATAGAGACAGAGACAGATAGTAGAGCGAAGTACCGGTCAGTTTTGTAGATAAAAAGATAGTTAAATAAATAAATATATATATATATATATATATATATATATATATATATATATATATATATATATATATATATATATATATATATATATATATATTCGATTAGAGTTACTGTCAGATAATGACTCGGAGGCAGACGAAGAAGAGGCCAGAGCATAGATAAGTAGTTAGTCGGCATTAAATAACAAACCTTTTAGCCCAACCTGCACTAGTAGCCCGGTGGCAGTCAAAGACAATGGCACTAGTTTACAAAGTAACTAGAGATAGAAAACACAACGCGATTCTATGAGTACTTAGAGGATTCAGCATTCTTAGAGTATTATTTGATGTATTCGGTCACATTTGTTGGAGTGTCATAATAAATTCAGTGTGATCCTGAACAGTTGTATTCAGACACTTTATTTTACAAGCATCACCAATTCAACTATCGACACGACCATCTTTCTCCTCGTCTATCAACAATCACCCGCCACCCTTGACACAAAACCATACTGAACCTGGGTTAGTTTGGTGAAGCAAAGACAATTTTCAGAGACGACTGTGTCACAGAAAGAGAGACGGGGTGGCGGGGTTGATTATGGTGCCGTTCAGCAGGATTTAAAAAAAAAAAAAAAACCTGAGACAATCGTGAAGGACAAGTAAGAAACTTGATTCTTGTGACGATCAGGATTCTTTCTAGTGGAAGAAAGACTTGAACTGATGCATTAAACTACGATGCCATAACTCTGCCTTTAAGAAAATCTGTTTGCAGACCTTTGTTTTCTCTGAACAACGAGAAGAGAGAAGACACTCACGTCAACGAGACAACCATTACGAAGACGAACCCCACAGATGACGAACTCCACAGAAGACAGCGTACTTACCTGATTGGCGCAGTCAACCGTATCCCTTGCTAGAGTTCTGGAATCAATGCGGCAGGAGTGAAGTTGTTTGGGAACCTTGAGTCTACACAAAATCCAGTCAACGAGAGGAACCACCACGATCCAAAAACAACGAGGCGAGTGTGTTATTTAGTTTAATTAGTTAATAATAATAATCTTTTTTTCTTTCCAGTGTGTAATTGTATAGCAGTTAATCATGGCGGAACCAGAATACCCCATGTACCGTGTTTTACTTGAAGTGGGGAGGGCTGTAACCAACTTGGACCTCTCCATCAAACAACAGGGAGTGGCTGCAACCATAGAAAAATTTGATGGGGATGCCCGTAAATTTAAAAAGTGGATAGTGGCCATTGAAAAGTATGCATATTTGGTAGTGGTGTCTGATGAAGACAAAAAGCGAATTGCCTATCAAACCAGTTTGAGTCCAGTTTCAGATCATATTAGGAGGAAATTAGAGAATAGAGCTGTTGAATCTTGGGCGGAATTCAAAAGTGATTTGGCGCGTAAATATGCAGAGATCACTGATCCACAGTATGCCTTTACAATTCTTCGTCAGATTAAACAGGAGAGAGGGGAATCAGTCCAATTATTTGGGGATAGACTTATTAATTTAGCTGAAGAAGCTTTTATGGGGCAGGATATCCAAGGGGATGAAATTGAACGAATGTTGGTGGGAATTTTTACGGATGCACTGCTTTTTGATAGCTTGAAACTGAAAATTATGAGGGAAAATCCCACAAAATTGACTCAGGCGATTAATCTAGCAATTGTGGAGGAGAACCTCAGGCGTAGATTTAGACTGAGGTCAGGTAGAGACCCAGAGGCAAATATGGGTGCCCGAAGAGAAGAACCAATGGAGGTAGAACACTACAGGCCGAACTGGCAAAGAAGAAGACAAAATAATGTTCCTAGGAGATCAGTACACGTAGTAGAGAATGATGTTTTATGTTTTGGGTGCAATCAAAGGGGACACATTGTAAAATCATGTCCAAATAGAAGCAGAAATGTTCCCCAGACTTTAACCTGTTTCAGATGCGGCAGAAGGGGACATATCGCCCGTTTTTGTAGAGGAAATTATACACAATCCAACACCAACACAAATGGGATAAATCATAGGCGAAATGACAGACCAACTCAGCAGGGAAACGAACTTCCCGCTCCGTAGAAGGGGCTTATATGAGTGGGTTTTTTGGTAATGCCTCTAAGAATACAAACAACAATAACACTAGATTACAAAATAGTTACAATTATTCTCATCGTAGGAAACAGACACCAATTAGAACACACAAAATTAAATTATTTAGTGATCCAAACTCATGTACTATCAAAATAGGAAAACAAAAGATAAGAACTTTAGTAGATTCAGGAGCAGAAGTTAGTTTAATTAAGGAACGAGTTTTCAAAAACATTGGGAAGCATACTAAATTTAGCCCAACTCAGTCAAACTTGCAGACAGTCACAGGTCAACCAATAAAAGTAGTGGGGGAGGCTTCAATAACATTTACATTAGGAGATGTAGAGCTGCAACACACATTTATTGTCGTCCGAGACATGAATAGGTGTGCTATTTTGGGAAGAGACTTTTTGGTGAAGCATGGCGCTAGAGTATACTTTGATTTGAAGAACATTAGAATAAAAGACACTTATGTAGACCTGGAAGATGATATTCACATCGCTTCTCTAGTTAGAGTGAAAAAGACGGCATTACTCAAGCCGCAATCGGTTAATTTTGTAATATCAGGCATAAAGGATAACCCTTATTTTGTGTCAGGACAGACAGTCACAATTTCAGAGTTAGAAGGAGGCATCGTAGAAGAACCATATTTATCGACTTTAGATGCTATTACAGAGTTAGATAACAAGCTGAGATTCCCAGTCATGATAGCCAACAACACAGGGAAAACAATTAAATTAAAGAGAGGTTGCATCGTAGCATATGTAGAAAATGAAGTTAAACCAAGAGTAGTAAACATAGTGAATTACAATAGCTAATGTAACAAGACACGACGTTGTAGACGAAAGCCAAGATATGAATCATACCAACGACAGAACAATGTTGAC